TCGATAAAGTAGATGATCGTTTTGTGCTATTTGTGAATTCCTTACATACCTTTAGTGTATTGACAATGCCGTCGAACAAGAAGCTGATGTCGAAGATGAAACAGATTGCACAGTGGATTTTGGTGGTTCACGTGGTAAGTTACCTAACATAGGTACTTGCATCGACATACAGGTGCACTCTCTTTATAATATATATAAAATCCTTGGTATATGCTTCGAATAATGCTAATTTATGATAATAATAATCAAAAACCACTTATGCAACAATGCAAATACTATTTAGAGTCCAGCTAAATCTACATATAGTGGATAAGGCACTTGATTATGAAATGCACTATGAATCATGCAAATATTTGCTATATTTTTGAATTTACATAGTTTATTATGGTTATTCTTAGATAAATATTAACCAAACTCAAAACTGTACTAAAATGTATTGTAAATAATTGCAAATTTAATAATGGTTCGTTTAAGAAGTTATAACTTTATAACCACTCTAATATAGTATCTTTATAGCAGAAGAAAAAGTATAAGATTAAATCGAAACAGTAGTAGATATTGATTAGAAGCCTCTGGCGATCCTCGGGGTTGACTTAACTTAGTTACAAGTTCAGAGAGCAAAGTTTGCTTGTCGATAGACGCAATCTTTTATTTGAACCGTAAAATAAAGTGGAATCCAAACAAAGTTGCATTCCTAAAATTTAGTTTGCATTTTTCAAGTCAATTTACTATTTATTTATAATCTTTTCTTAGATACATTTATTCTAGAACCATGATCAAGATTTTGCGGAAAGTAGATAAATTTTGAATACCTATCTGTTATTTTTATAATTTATCATCTTTACGACTACATCAATATTGTTATATGTATTTATCTTCTTGTCATCCGGTATCCAGCTGAGAATTTACTAAAAAGGCATTTATAAAAAAGAAGCCCAGACAGATTAAAAAAATATGAATAAGCAGAGGTCTATACTGTGCGAACACAATGATGCTTTAGTTCCATAAAAGTCCATTCACGAAAGTTGTCTAGATGTGAGACTGGCAATAATTCGACGTGAATCTTTTGCTTCGTTTTATGTTAATGATTATTATACAAAGACTTTATAAGAAAATAAGTGTTAATTGAACAAAATTTCAAGTACGATGCCCTTTTAAATAATGCCTTGAAAATTTCTTCCATAATTGCTCCCTTCATTTGGAGCATTTGTAAAGGTCTACTTAAGGAGACCCTTACGGTCCTTCAGGCGATTTGGACTGGCAACTTAGTAATTAAGCTTATTTCCCGTCTCCGCTTGTTTTGTCATTTGCGACAATTGTGTGTCTAATTTTGTCAAGTTAACACTTCTAGCTACATTGAAAGAACTTTGAGAGAATTATATTTGTTAATGTATGTCCTTGTGTTTGTTTCAATACATGACTAAAATATTATGTTAATTACGTATTTAAAAATAAAAAAATCAGGAATTAATGAAGTCATAATTATTTCAAGGTTAATATTATTTTATAATATGCAAATTCTAATCGCTTCATCTGTCCTTGCTAAGACGAGGCTAAAATTCTCTAAAACTGTTTTGGGAGATAATATTCTATGCGAGTAAGTTTGGACATATTGAGTAGTTATATAAAACATGAAACAAATAATAATTGTAAATAAATAGAAAATTGACGTAACGATGTGGATGTTAGGGCTTCGAGCCAATAACCAGGCTTAATTGAAAAGCACGTTCGCGGGGCTTACGAAAGTGAAAAGAGTAAAAGACAGTGTTTAACTCAGTTGTGTGGAACCTGTTTGCCGTCCCGGGTTTGCGGAACGTGACAAGACAGAAGCCCACAACGTCGCTGTAGGACTGACCATGCCAATTGTGCAAACGATGCAGTCTATAGCATTTTCTTTTTTCTATTTCACAGTCAATCATACAAACACTAGAAATGGAATATTACAAGTTTGTTTATTTAAATTATTATATCACATCATATTGTTAGCTTTGATGATAGTAAAATCAAATATTGTTAATTGAAATCATTGTTTTTGTAAACAAAGTTGGAATGTTAATTCTGATTAGTCATCTGATTTCCGAGTGCACTCCAAAATATCTTAAATTAAAATTTAATGAATCGGCAAACTCGGACATATTTAAAAATATACGAAAATGGTTGTTCTCAAGGACATACTTTATTCTAAATTATAAGAATATTTTTATACTCAACAGCTTTTACAGTTTCATCTGTTGAAATTTTTCCATACAGTCTCGATGACTGATCAAAGAAGCATTTAATATTTATGTTACACGACACTGCAGCGTACTATTTTGGGCTGGGCAGCCAGGAGGCGTGTCTCCGGTATTTATAAATCGCCGGGCTGACTCATGTGGCCGTCTGAAATCTACGTCTTGTCCCATATCCTCCATTCTGTTGGTATTACTCATAGCGGGTGAACCCGGAATCGTACTTTCTCTATATTTAAAGAACACTTTATTGTCGATATCAACGTATATTATTTAATACAAATTAATTATTTAACACATTATATTTGATGCCATCGAGCTAATATGATGATTGAACATAGTCAAACGCCTGCTATTTTGTTTTAACAATTAAATACAATATGATCGTTTAGTTTACGTGAAAATTTCTTTACGTACCTAAGAAGATTATAAACAGCTTGTAAAAAATCTTATTATATAACTGATTGATTAGGTGTAGTGATTAGAATTATGAATATATCTTATCAAGCTTTTAGTTATCTTATATTTTACAGCTGAAGTGGCTCTGTATCGAAATTGTTTAAGCAATGCAAGTCCTCGTGACTTGCATTGCTTAATCATTTTCGATACATCGATAGGAACACTTTTATCAAATTCAATATTTCATTTATTGATAAAAATTTCTATGTTTTGTATAATATAAAGTAAATAAAGTAATATCACATTCAACTTTGTCAAGGAGTAAATATTATAACAATTATTTTATTTCCTTACAAGCTAAATCCAATGACAGTGTATATTAAACCTTGCTTCGTTTAACCATGTTGTGTATACAGGAAGTTGGCTATTAGTATTTTATATGTAGTTGTCGAGGAAGTGAGCTGTAGTTTATTTCCCATTATGCGATACGATTGATGAATAGCCAGAAGTGAACATGTGTGCTTGAACAGATTCAATCCGATCCCTTTCAATTCACCCCTTTTGAGTCAATAGGTACATTGATTTGAATTGGTAAATAAAAGGAAACGAATGTTGCCATAATACGCATCTTCATAATTTTAGGTAAATAAACTTTTTTTTTGATATTAACTATAAACCCGAGATATCCGCTTTATCTTCAGATAAACAACTTTCGAGAATGAGTCAAACGTTATTATTGTATTCGATAATATATAATACAAATATCTGTAAAAATACTTTTAAGTATGATAATTTGTACACAGCTTTAAAACTTGTTGTGCATTATTAATGCTTTTTAACCGAATCTAATTAAGCGACTGAAGAAAATATGCAAATTGCAGACTAAATCTCGTAGACATCGCAAATCAAAACGGGGGTGGCGCAGCCGATGTTTAATTATGTAAATAAATTTTCATGCGTATGAAGGAATCGTCAAACAAAGCGCCAGATGAGGCTGGCCCTAGCCTTTGGGAAAGTTAGAATAAAGAACATGCCTCAGGCCAGTTTTGAAGTTAACTTAGTTTTATTTTTAAATCACCCCTGCTGTGAATTAACGCTTGCACGCTTGTTTTAGTATGCCATTCATTTTTAATAATGGTCATGCAAGATTGGGTATCATGTAGGTAGTCTGATATGAAAATTTTATTGCTTTAAGGCAACATTACGCAAAAGGGTTACGTATATCAACTTTGTTCACTAAACTGTTGTATTTAGGTAAAGATCTCTCGAGATTGAATACTGCTAAATCCTAAATTCACCCTTAATGAGGGCTTAGTACCCTCCGTATCCGCGGGCGAGGAAGTGGGAACTCATCATCGGGTCTAATAGCGTGAATAACCTTTTACCTTATTAAGTAAATCTGCTATAATTATGTACTGTATATAGAAGTTATTTTTATTCAGTTATTTCTATATATACTTTTTATATAACAGCGACTTACTGTCGTAACACGAAACCTTGAAAACTATTTGATATAAGCTGGGCAGGTTTATATGTAGGAGACGTCCGTCAGCTAAGAATTTTGCGACAAAGCCGAATTAAGGGTGTCTTAAGGGTATCTTAAGTTTTTATGAACATCCTTTGTTTTTCCTGCTAGAGATAGGTATAAAGTTGAGTTGTAACACATATGTAAATCTACTACACGGAGCCGTTAGCAGCATTAGTATCTTATATTATCAAATACTAACTTTTAACTTTTTATACAAAGAATCAGTTATTTTATTATTTATTTCATTTATTCCTTTTATACAAATATAGGTTGGTGCAAAAGCGTTTGAAATAAAAAAATATCAATCATTTGTAACAAAATTTGTTACAGTGAACTAATTTTGACGGTTATTCGTAAAATGTTCACCTCATAGCATCGTCAATGCAAGCACAATATCTCATAATATTCTTTATGCTCCCTCTCATAAACAGAAACGGTCTCGGTAATGACACCCCGTCGAGGGGAAGAACGTCTAACCGACCGTTATGTTCGCCGGATATGTGACCGCTGCATTTTATTACCACTTTACTCTGCCACATAATCGGCCTTCATGATGAAGGGCTTCTTTCCAACTAATAGTCACTTGGTATGCGTGGCCCTTGTTCTACATGCGTACTGTACCGTGCGCTGAGCTCGCTTTCACTCCGCTCAACTATTTTGAAATTAACCGTTTAATATCCAATACAACTAGGCTGGCTTATTATTTATATCGGCAGCTACACATAAATAGTTTATCAATTTCTATTATAATACGTATAATTAAACTGATTTAATATTAAAATATGATATGAAGTATATCTGATGATTAAGAAATACTTATTTAATTACGTATATCATTGTTACAGGTCGAATTTATCGAAGCATATTGCACACCACGAGACACAGCCCGCCGCTCACCGCAGCGCAGTCGTAGATCGCGGGAGCCGCGACGCTCTCCGGACACGTCTAGATGGCGATACGATTCTCGCCGTCAAAACTACGACGTTGATTCACGTCGACCGTACGAATACGAATCAAGGAGATATTTTGGTAGAGAGTACGACGCAGACTCAGGGAGACGACCCGCATTCGACGCGGAGTCGGCACGACGACGTGCGGATTACGAGTCGGCTAGACGGACTGATTTTGATTTGTCTGCTCCTGAAGTGTCCAGGCAAAGTCCTGAGAGTGCTCCAGAGGGTTCAGCCGACTCACCGCCAGAACCAGCGCCGTCAGCCCCCTTACGACAAGACCGACAGTCTCGACACAGAACTCAACCATATTACGAATCCGGTAAGAATTCCTTAACTACCTACTTAATATTATTTTAATTCAGTCAATTTATTACTTTGTTGGGGCTAAGTAGATAGAAAAAGCTATAGAAAGTAAAAACATCATAGTATGTAGGATGAAGCAATACAAATATTTTGTTAATAATACGTAGAAATTATTTCTGGCTTATGATATAATTGGCGTGATTATTTATTAGCACTCTACGAGTAGAAATAAAATGCTGATTATCCCAAAAATATAGATTTTCCACTGTAATAACGATTGAAGATTGCTTACGTTGGTCTTAATACGTGAAAACAATTGAATCGATAATAATTCGACGTGCTTATCTGTTATGACATGACTGACATGTTAATATACTTTTTTCTTCTTTAACTTACGTGGACGACATCACGCATTTTTGCATTTTATTAAAAAGATCTGTAATTATGTAAGGGGTAAAAATATATAGAGATCAAAAAAAAGTACAAAACATAACAATAAAGCTTTGTGTGACATAAGTAATCACAATACACAGATTGTATTCATTTGGTCAAGCCCATTTGTACTGTTGCAACCTACAATAGCGCAATTTAACATTACTATGCAAGTTAATCGAAACAATGATAATTCTCAGGACTACACTGTAATAGTCATTAAGTTCTTATATGAAATGTTTATAAAGTTGCTATGCTACACTAACTTTGTGTAAGAAGTGCAAAGTTTTAGTTTTCTGTTTACACAATCTTATATTTAAGTACGACGTTCAAGCTCATCTTCAAAGAATATACAAAGCCTCTTTTCTCCCACAACAATCGCGGTTGAGACTTGTTAAGGCATTGTTCTCAAGAGACGGTATCTAGTCCTGTCCGTTTGTAATGAAAAGAAAAAACTTACACTCTATTCCTCGTTACACACATTCTTGGGGTAGGTTAATTAACTTGTTCAGATTTTTTGTTTAAAGTAAACCATGTCAGTATAGCTTTCAACGAGCTCATTTCTTGCGAATTGGTAATAACAAGTTCTGGACGATATTTCTACAATAATAGTAAAATATTATATTACGCTTTAAAATATTTTATAAAAAAATACGATAGTAATAAATCAAATATGTTAATAGCTATATTACACTTCGCCAGACATGTATTTTTATTTAAATTCTTAGTAAATCCATGTATATGTATACCTTACATATAATTAGGTATAATGAGGAAACCCACGGTATAACCACAATTAGGCCGGAGGTAATGAAAGCTAGGCACTAGGCATCGGCAACAATGGCAACTTTTAATCAGCCTTTTTTCTGCTAGTTCGTCCGTCTAGACTGGAAAAAATGTCCCGACGTAATAATAAACACAGGCTTTTGATTGCGATCTCGTTTATCTGCGGAAAATATCTATTATCCTGATTAATATGCGTTATCCACTTACGTAACTGGAGCTTTTTGTAAATTTCATAATCACATTAATCATAGCGATGCTGTCTTCTATTCCTTTAATTACTTTTTAGAACAGTTTAAAATAGAACGCTTTGCGTGAGATACATAATTCTTTTTAATCTTTGTTCTGAAATATTGCGTGACGATAAGTATTTAAAGCTACTGTGACTCAACAGTTGAGCGCGTAATAGCTACCCTGAACTGATTGTAAAATAACTTCAATTTAAAACCATCACCTTTGACATTACTTCAAACGTTTTAGAAAGACATTTAACATGTTAATCGCAGCAATTTAACAAATTTCGACTCGTGAGGGCTCGTGTCCATCCACGCGGAAAAGTAATTACGTCACCTAATGATGTCACTTTGCAATACTTGGCTCTAATGGCATTGCACTCTTACTGTTAAGCTTATAGAATTAGCAGATCCTTAAATAATCTGTTGTCATATCAAAAATAATCAAGCTTGAGATGTCATTATGCAGATGTATAAGATGCGAGTTTAAAATATTTGCCGCTGCTTGAGGCTCTAAATCCAGACTTTTTTGTGTTCAACATGCATTCAGAGGGATAGCCTTTGTTGTGCGAACCAAGGAATTCTCATTAGGCTATTTCTGCGTGCCTTTGAAATAACGTTAGCATCGTATGCACGAGTTAAAGGGGATTTATTGCATTAATTAACCTTAGCGTGCTGAGGGCACTTCAGTTAAACAGAATATGTAAAGCATAGAAACTTCAAACATGTATGTACTTGAATAAACAATTGAAATGTTAACATACTATATCTTGTTTCGGTAGAAATACTAATTAAGTGTTGTGTTGACGAAAATGTTCACTTAAATTCTCCAGACCAAATATTAAAGCAAAATCAAATTTCGTATGTATATAATCTTTGAAAGTTTAAATGAGGGTCTTAAGTCAAGAAACAGCAATAAGATTTATCCAGGTTTTTATAATAATAGGGGAACATTTCGCTATTCTTTATGATCGACGGAGTTCTTGAAGCATCGTGAAAGTACAATTCCGGACGCTCATTTAAACGACGCCACTTGAGACTAACTGCGGCCTTAGACTTATGGAACGTTTGCGAACCTGCTTCTAGCTCGTTGCCTTTATTTTATCTCCTAAAAGTACTCTAATTTTGTGGCGACAGTTTCAGTTTTGTCTTAATTTATTCAAACCCTTTTGTTATTTTATTAAAAGTTTTTATAATAAAACATTTCTTTTTGTTTTAGAATCAAGTTCAGAAGATAGATCATCATCAAGTGAAGGCGAAGAAGACGAATTTGGAGAATTCGATCCATTTGCAACAGCACCGTCATTGCATTCACCAGACAGTGGTCGTTCCGATCCGCGTTACGCAAACGCTCCTCGAAGAAATCCAAGTCCATATTACTACGGCGACTTGTTCAAAACAGCCCCACCACCACCTGCAGCGCCTACTATTTCTACTTCCTCTTCTCGTGGAGGATACAGGAAGTCGGCGAGCCTCGACGCACCTCACGTTGCACAAAGACCGAATCTGCCTAAGAGATTTTCAGTTGCAGAAGATGGTTTTCGTGAGCTAGAGCGATCATCATCATCGTCCGGCGAGAGTGCGTGGATGCCGCCAAGGCGTCGTGGGCGCGACGCGGCCGGCTGCGCGTGCGCCGCGCCCGAAGATGTAGAGGAGCATAGCTCTCGTAGCGTATTTTATGTGCCAGCGCCTTTGCCACGCTGGCCACAAGAAATGACCACACGACAGATATACGAAACGGCCTTTGACTGTAAAATAGCACGCTCAGATGATGACTTAGATGATTTCGATCGCGTCAGCAATCACCCGGCTCTGCTACAAGCTGAGGAACGTAAAGTTATTTCCTCTGCATCATCTGCATTTGAAGCCGTTGAACGAAGTGAACCAGACTATAAAGGCCGCCGAAAGGTGACTATGAAAACTGACAGCGTTCGTCGCTCAAAGATTCCAACAATTCGTCAAAAGAGGGAAAACGAGAGCAATGCTTCAGCATTATCAGAAGAATTGGAAAAAGTACACATCGAAGAGGAAGATCGAACATCAACATCCCAACTGCCATTGCGTGGTTATACACCTTCACCGCCATCGACAGCGCCTTTACCTACAAAATTTCAACAGAAAGATGGATCATCGATGAATAGTATAAAAAGTGCTCCTAACTTGCCACAAACTCAACCAGCACATCCTCGTCTTAAGGATTTAAGATTGCCTGTGAAATCTCTTCGGGCACGGGATACCCCAACTAGTAGTGATGCAAGCATGACAGACGTTAAAGCTTCAGTGTCAACTGAATTAGACGTCGGTCAACGCTTAAGAGACTCCAGTCGCGAGTCTCGTGATGGTGATGATGAAAGAGCTCAATCAAAAGACGGTATTTTTTTAGAGATTAAGGGTCGACCCACTTCCGATTCAGACACACCTGAACTGAATCGGTTCAAGGGGCCAAAGGGGGTCGGCCCTATAATGGAGTTTAAAGGCAGGCCTGGCGTCGCTCGCCCGCGACGAAAATATTCGAGCACAGAAAGCATGGCGACTAGTAGTAGTGGTGGAAGTATGGAGTCACTACGAAGCAGCAATAGTGAAGGCGATAGGAGTAGTAGTAGTTCTGAAAGCCGTCATTCTTCATCTTTAAGCTCACATAGCTCGGATTCCGGAAATGTCCCATTTATTAAATCACATCATATGCAGTTATCGGGGTTTGGACATCATCCGACTAAATTGCATATCTTAAGTCCCATATCAGATAAATCTTCTCAGGAACCAGCATCAGAAACATCAGATAATAACAAGAATAACAACTCCCAAAAAGTGTCTCCTGAGGATACTGAAACAGGAAACACGACATTGCAAACAACCGTTGAAATTTTACCTAAACCCAAGAGGAGAGCTCTACAAAACAGAAACCTACTAAACCTTACATTTAGACATTCAACTCCTGGAGATACTGAAATACAAGGATCCGATAGTGGTATATCTATTCATTCCAGAGAAGGTGTAGATTCACGTAATGCTTTCATTAACTTCAAAAACAGTAATACTGAAGAAGAAAGAAAGGACGATGCTGTAGATCTTTCAGATCTACCATTTGATATGCCGAAACTGCGAAGACGTCGCGCTGAAGCGGAAGTGGATTTACGTACACTCCCATTTGACATGCCTAAACTGCGACGAAAGTTACGCGGACAGTCATTGCAATTAAATAGTGATTTCGGAGAGGCTATATCCAATGCTTCGTCAAGCCAAAGCGTTCAAGATTTAAATCAAGGTGAGTTTTCTTACTGCTATATTTACTTACACCTTTTCACATAAATTCGACAAGTACATTACGCAACTTCAAAACACTGATATTCTATTTACGAGTAGATATATAGACATGGAATACCTTTTGATATAAATATCTTCATATATTTCATTAATATATTATGGTTAGAAAAAAATCTTATATCACAAATTCTACACAACTTTTCCCTTTCTAAATCAAAATCCACTCAACCTCTGATCGAATTATGCCGGAGTTTATTATGTCAGAAGGATTTTACATGTCAATCGTGTAACAAAGAAATCTGCGGAGGGTCTGTCTTTTTCTATCTTCGAGTCTCGATTGTAACTCAAAGTGACTCGTACGAAATTATGCCGATTAAGACATATGACTCTAGACTGTTGCACGAATGCCCTCCTAATATTTAATTTACTTGAGTGCTTTTGGTGGGAACTTTTTCCTGTATATTGTGGGCAATTTGTAAACGTACATTTGAGTTAAGAGTGTAGATAAGTAGCGATTTGACATTAAATAACCTTTGACATTTTGTGCGGTCTTAGCCCTCGTGACTCAGTATTTTATTTAGCGAACTTATAGCGCGATTACATAACCAGTGTATCTGCGAAATTATAATGCGCAGTAATAATAATCACAAATGATTTAACATTAATATTTTAGGTTTAATCATTTAAAGTTACAAATACATTTAAAATTTAAATGATTTTTTATTGTAGAAAGAATTGTTATCCAAAAAAAATTAAGGATCTGTTTTCTTATCTATTTTTATATAAAGTATTTTATAAAACTTTTTTATTTTTTTCAGGTAATAAACACCGCGAGAAATTAACATTAAATTTCGATAGCGGTATTGGATCTGGTAGCGCTAAAGGGTTACATTTGAATTTAGGACCCATAGCTCCGCCACGGGATCTGGTTGATGCTTCTCTTCCACTAGACCGACAAGGGTAAGATTTCTAATTAAAATATAGATAATAAATAGAATGACATTCGTCGATATAAATTAAATTTTGAAAATACAAAAGTTTTTCTAAATAATTGAGATATATGTATTTATTTATTGAGTTTGTGATTTCAGGTGGTATCATGGAACGTTATCGCGTTTGGAAGCCGAGAGTCTCTTAAGAGATGCGGATGAAGGTGCTTTCTTAGTAAGGAACAGCGAATCCGCCAAACACGACTACTCGCTTAGTTTGAAGTAAGTATTAGAACAAAATTGAAACTAGTAAAATAAGGATCAAATAAAAAGTTTAAAAGTGTTAAAATTTTTATCTCCACCATTTTTAAACAGTTAGTATCCATAACTTTAATAGCTTACATAACTGACTAAATCTCTACATAACCTTAATTCACCTCACGAGTATATTATTAATAAGTAACGAATTAGTAGGCAAATCAAATATTAAAATAATTTTCTTTTTTTCAGGTCTACCCGTGGGTTTATGCATATGCGCATATGTCGTGGTGGGGACGGCTATACACTTGGTGGGGCGGCTACTGCCTTTCCTACCGTGCCGGCTCTCATGCGACACTACGTAACAGCGCAGAGATTACCTGTTAGGGGCGCTGAACATATGGCCCTATCTACCCCATTACCTGCTGTCATGCTTTGAATTGCCAAAAATAATAGGAATTCTATAGAAATTCCTTTGGCATCATCAACGAATTTACGTTTTGACTTCTTTGGTTAGAGGTTGGCTCTCATCAAGAGAGTGCGAAGAGAGCTACGTTTATGACTTAGCTTTACGCGTCGATTTTTGGAAACGAGGGATCATTAGGTTCAAACTCAGATATCTAGGTTTTGAAATGTGCAGATAATGTGATGAATACATGACTTTATTATAAAGTTACAAGTAGTTTTTGCGCAGCTAATTTAATATGTTTTTGGGGTGAATATGACAATAGATGCAATAGCACTTCAAGTTATATCTGAAATAAAGAATAAAATATTTATTTGCCATCAGAAACTCTTGTAACATTTAGAATTTGGGTTGAAACTCAAAGTTGATTGAAGTAAGTAAGTTAGTGACAATGAGACTAACTCAAACTTAAGAGAAACAATGGCCACGTGTATATAAGACACAATCTTTGAGTTTTGTGTCGATCATACTTGACTTAAATATAGCAGTTATTTATTGTATGTGTATAGTTTAGTAACCAGTGAATAATACCAAAGAGCTAGTATAGATGTAGGAAAATGCTATTGGGCTTGCAAAGTGTTCGCTCGGAGTGTTATAACAATATGAGGACGCTTTTTATTATTATTAAAATTTTCAAAGCAAGCTTTAAAATCGCTTATACTGTTTATTGCGAGCTAAAATCCTGTATGGAAAAATTAAAAGACATTCAGAACACATAATTCAACACATCTTATATATTTAAATCCCATCATGTTTATTGGTTTTAATAATAATTAAGCGTTTGCTCAAATTTATGCTAGTCCCAGTACCGCAAGTAACCTGTAATATTTTGATAATATAATATGAAAGATCGTATATAATTATTATTGAGTTCCATAATAACCTTAGCGTTAATCATTTGTATCGAAGTAGTTTTGTTTACAATTACTCATCGTATCATAACAAATTAGTTCTTTAAAGAAATAATATATGACGCAAGTGATAACGATAAACTTAAAGTATCGGTCAAAACATCAAATAATCACGTAAAAGTTGAATTAGTATATAAATGAATTTAGTTACGAATAATTAGCAGCTACTTGTAAAAAGGCCTAAAACAAATGCTAAATTAAATTATAATTTTTGTTATAAAGCTCTTATTTGCGTCTTAAAGCTTATTTATTGCCAATATAATAGTCCAAACGAGGTCAAATATAATAAAAATGACTTTCATTTAATATAATATATAAATTATCATTATGTTTAATGGCTAACTTAATATGAAACCTATATTTTGACAAGAAAGGTTCATATTAGTGTAACAATTTGTTTATGACTCATCGACCATAATGTCACGAAAATCGTATCAATTTAAATACTTACAAGCTGCTACACGAATTGTGGCACACCTACGGTCTTTCTAAGTGACTATATTTACCTACAATACCTATGTTATAGTTTATATATATAGTAGACTCTTATTATATATATATATATATATATATAATAAGGGTCGATTCATTCGCACTTAGAATAAAATAATAGATTTCATCAATTTGAGCTTAGTATAAGTAAAGAGTACAATCACAGTTCGTAATAGTTATTTAAATTAGTCCATATTTATTTAAGGGACGCATAGAACGTATTCATTAGACTAGAAAGACCATTTTGATACAGCTTTCATACTATTTATATAAAACGTAGAATTTCGATTTTATCCTAGGTAACCCCGATGTATGGCACGGCATTACATTATGATCATAGGCAAAGAATGCACATGTTAAATAACATTCACATTGACTTATTTATATTTTTTGTTATATTAGATATAAGTAGGTTGTAATATATTTATGGGCCCTTGGTATTTATATCCATAGATAAGTTTGTTCATTCGAACTGTCACTTTGTTTTTTAAATATAACGGCGGAAATGACATTTGTTTGACATTGACAATTAATAATTATGAAAATTGTTAATGATTCAAATTATTAACGAAACTTAACGTTATATTGATTTTTTAACCGCCCCAGTTATATTTAAAATAACTATTGGCATTTAAGTGAAAGTGGCAGCAGAGTGAGTTGTCACCTATTATTTCTTATAGTTATTTCTGTGATTTAGTTTGTTATGATGAAACGCCAAAAAAATTAGTGTGTAATTGTAAAATTTTATGTGGAATAGCGCTTTATTGATAGGATTCTGTTTCAACTAGACATTCGGGTTTTAGATCTAACTAAGCGTATAGGTTAGTTTCCTATATTTAAACTACTCTATAATGCTGAACTTTAAAAAATATCATTAAAACATGTTAAAAAATATATTTTCCCAATATGGAGTTCTAAAAATCACATGTCTAGTTTGGACTTTTGAATGTTGATATTGCAACGTGATCTCATATTTCTTCCCTGGATGCTTCAGTTACCTTAGATTTAATTTCTATTAATTTGTACCTGATTTTGAAAACTAACAATGTTTGAGACTTAAAATTACGTTTTAACAGATTTATTTTGTTACTAAATAGACAGTAGTAATAATTGTAGTTGTGTATGGAAAGAGCGAATTTCAATGTATGTGAAACAATTAATTGTAATATTAACCACCGCGAAGCAGCTTAAGCAAGCGTGCAACTAATTTTTAATATAGTAATATAAATTTTTATCACTAAGCGGATAATTTTTATATGAACAAGACAAAACTACACTTTTGTAACATCACGACTTGAAATTTCTTCATATGGAATTATTAAATGTACGAAAATCGTTTCTAAATACAATAAAGAATAAGCTGCCATGTTTACTCTTGTTCATGTACTTATTTCCTTTTGTATTTTACGTAGTAAGTGCATAATGGAAGGTAGGATAATAAATTCCTGTTGGAAGTTTTGAAGTGTCAAAATTTTTTCATGAAACAACGTAGGTTGGGGTCGTATGTTAGGTAAAATTATAGCTTATTGTAGTTATAATCAATTATAATTTTTGAAGGTGTAGTTTGAAATGGATGATAAAATAAAAAAAATATTAAAAATGAAATCGGTTTTATTTATGATACCCTTTTGTGTTATAAATTAAAAGAGTACTTATGTTTATTCAACCTTTGCAAAATCCATCCGCCATTTAGAGAATTAACCAATAAGCATCGCATATTTTCTCTTCATTTCGTCTTGAGAGAGAAAGCCTCTTATCTACATTGAGAAAGAAAGGTCGAACACCAGCTAAAAGATGCACAGATGAATTTAGACACCTATACATTTGAGTGATTTCAATAATGTACGAACACTGTATACCTTATATATAGCTTTTCTAATTTAATGAACTTTGAACAGTGATTACTTATACCACTAGTATAGTACTATGTGATCTGTGCTACTACTTATCTGTAAGTACATCTATACCTACATATAATAAAATTGTAACTAAGCCGAATCTGTACATTAAATATTTTTGGAAAATCTTATTGAAATAAACATTATTATCGAAACAGAGGCCGAATCTAGAGTTTTTAGAATTTTTGTCTGTCTGTCTTTCTGTCTGTCTGTCTGTTACCGCATCACAAAAAAACCACTAGAGGGATTTTGATGAAATTTGGAATTGCGATAGCTGGTTATCCGGGTCAATATATAGGATACTTTTTATCGCGGGGAATTATCTCATTTCTGAGAAAAAATACAAAAACTGCAATGTAAGAGTATACTAATATGAAAAACCTAACAATTTCGTTTTTGGTCATCTGAACGCGGGCGGAGCCGCGGGCAATGCTAGTAATATAATAAAATTCTGAGTCGAATCTGTACATTAAATATTTTTTGGAAAATCTTATTGAAATAGTTATTATTATCGATGCAGAGGCCGAATCTATAGTTTTTAGAATTTTTGTCTGTCTGTTTGTGACCGCATCACGAGAAAACGACTGGACAGATTTTGATGAAATTTAATATGATTATAGCTGTTTATCCAAGTCAACATATAGGATACTTTTTACTGAGTGACCTCTGAGAAATCTATACTAAACCTTAAAACGTAACTAGGGACGAACCCGAGCGGAGCGAGGGTGAGTTGCTAGTCTCGGATATGAGAGATTGTCATTATACTACTAATATTTTACTACAATTATAATAATAGTATCTATATATAATATTATATCATTAAAATTTTAATTTAATTAGTACTAGCAGTATCCGCGGCTCCGCTTGCGCTAAAACTACAAAAAAATCTCTAAAAAGGTGGTTTTCATACAAACTTTTATCCCCTATTTTTCCCCCTAATATGGTGAATTTCGAAAAATGCTAAAACACGTAAGTATTTATTTAATTTTATTGAAGAGAATTAATACCAAGTTCCAAGTAATCGGATCATAAATAATTTTTTGTATTGTATTATAACGTCTTTTCCCGTGGGAATGAGATAATCTCCCGAAAAAAGTAGTCTATGTCACTTTCCAGTCCTCCAACTATCTCCATACAATCAAAATCACGCCAATCCGTCACTCTGTTTCGACGTGAAAGAAGGACAAACAAATCAGCAAAAACACTTACATTTATAATATTTAGTAAGTATTGATTATATACTGATACTTTATAGTCATGAAATGAGACGTTTATCTTTGTAATTATTTAATTTCAACTTACAAATTACGGGCCCAGATAGCTCACAGAGAAAAAATGAAGACATTAATTACGTAAAAGAATAAATAAAATTATTATCATATTTTACGGTGTCGTTGTTTGTACATCGTTCAGGTCTATTTAATTACTACAATTCCCAAAAATAGATTAATTCAACGCAAAATGCAAATTGAAATATAACATTTGACCTTTGATTTTTATTACTTAGTTATTCGCCTTTCTTTCTTCAAGTGTAAAAATACAAGTACCACAAAAATTTACGAGATTGAGGCGCTTTATAACATTATCACCATGAAAGAAGATAGAAAAATGTCCAATAATTAGGTACTATAAAAGAATGACTTTTTTTTGTTTTAATTATATTAGTATA